CCTGCGCCACCGTCCGGCCCAGCCGCGGCGGTAGGTGTACCCAAGCCTTCGCCTGGCCCAGCCAGAGCGGAGAACGCGCCGACGCAGGGGGGCCCAATGCAGGTTGACTCGGGCGCTGTTGATGCAACGCATGCTGCGCCATATGAGGTTGCCGAGTCATCCCCTACCAAAAAAGCCCACCGCTCTTCTGACGAGGCGGCCGCGCCCGCTTGGAAGGCAACCCCGCCGGTCGTCGCTCCGAGCGGACACGACGTGGCGGAGCCTTCCCCAGCTGACAGAGCCCCGGGTGTCCCAGACACACCGGGGTCTCTTGAGGCCAGCCCAGATCTTGGTTACTTCCGTGAATTTTCGTATCCAGGGGATCCTGACCTCATCTTCCTTGATGCGGAGCATTATCGGTCTGGCAGAGCGAAACTGCCGCCTTCCCCTGATATGCGGCAGCCTAGCCCGACGGATGATTCGCCCCGCGCGGGTGATCACGAGGTTAACGTCGGCCATGCTGACGAATTCAGGGGCAAGGAGCTTTATCTTCCACTGGATGACCGCACTCGATTTATTGAGAACGTGCCCGTTCATCTTAAGCGGCGAGTCCGAGAGGCTCACACTACTGGCCCTGTACCCCCTGGTGTCGAGGCCCTTCGTGATAAAACGTCTGGTACGCTCAAACATATAGCGGAGCTCGTCGAGGGTCCCATATTTGAGTTGTTGGGCGAGCTCTCCGTGGACATATATAGTTTTGAGCAGGTGCGAGACTTTCTCCGTGCAGAATTTCAATCTGACGATGTTCCCAGCGGGTTTGACCCTCGGGCCTTTAAGGTCCTGACTCCGTTGGCTGTGGGCGTCTCTGATGACGAAAATCCGGCGGCCCTAGGCTCCACGGATATTTGGCGACGCCACAGTTGTCGAGTAGATGTGTTTGCGAAGCGCATGGGAGATTTTGCTACGTATCTCGCGAGGACTGTCCGATTATGCGAGGTCTTCGGGAGGTTGGGTCTACTTTGGAGACCGAGTGGAGAAGATGCATGAGGATGGGTATAAGCACCAAACAGTAGCACTTGCTGCACACGGCCTAGCCGCATTGCAGCCAGGGCATCAGCGAGACGAGTGTTCGTAAGCAGTGGCGTGACTTTAAGGCTTGGCCCCTTCTTGGGGATGAGCGGGCCAAATGTCCCGTTCCTGTTTTCTATCGAGCGTGTCAGGGACATTCCGCGTTTGTTGCCTCCATTGAGAGGATGTATGTGCCTTATGACCCTGGCCTAGTCAGGTGTCATGGGTCCCTCCCCCATATTACGGACATGGGGGCGTTGATGGGATCCATGGTCCTAGAAATTCGGTTCCTTAAGAGCACATCAGGGCTTTGTCTCGAGGCGGACTATTGATTGTTGAGGCTTCTTCTGACCAAGCGGGATCCGATCATGCAAAGACCAGGTCATTTTCCCTCCTGGCTAAGCCAGCGTAGGGATGGGGAGCCTGCTCCTGCGAAAGAGCACCGCGCCATGGGCCAAGACCCAAAGGCGGGAGAGCCTCCTACGATTGGGGCATGGCCCGCAGCGGACACAGTCCGTCTGTGGGACCAGCTTCCAACACACAGATACTCCTGGCCACTAGTTCTCGTTTTCAATGGCCGTGTGCTCACCCGGTTTTCGTGCCGGGTCTGCCGCGACGGGACCCTTGTGTCCCGTGAAGTGCCAAGGTTCACCGACATCGACAAAGCTGTCACTCTTGCCACAGTCGACGATTGGCCAGATGTGATGAACCGAAAGTTGACTTCATGGCCACTTGTCTTTAGTCAGGAGTGGACCTCATATGAGGTAAACTTTGATGACAATTCCATGCTTGGTTGGATTCACACTGGCGAGACTGTGACATTGCGGCCAGATTGCAGACACTGGTCTGACAGGGCAGACGCATTTATTCAGTCTGTTCCCTGGGATGACGAAGGTCGGTTCCTCTGTGCTGGACTGCGCTGGGTGCGGACTGGCTTCGGCCGTTGCCCCTCTTGCAGTAAACCAGTGAGGTACAAGTATATGGTTGCACACAATTGTTTGCTTCAGTCACTTAAGCACGGAATCATTGAGGACCCACTGTGGAGAAATGGCTTTAAGCTGACCGTTCCCAATCATGACACATTCTCTTGGACGCATGATCGCTATGTTAGAGAAAGAATGCAACGGCAGCGTAGAGCGTCAGCGGATGTCACGACGAACATCAACACTAATTTGAAGCAGGAGCGCAAATGGGCAGAACATGGATACATTACGATGGCTGCTTCAGGTCAAACCTTTGGAAACAGCCGCCCTGGCAGCGTTCCTGCCTGGTTTCCTTAACGCGTCGCGGCCCAGCCGCCGGCGCGTCACGGACCTTTCTTTCATTACCTTGAACCCCTCAAGAGGCGATTTATCAAATGGATAGCACACTTGGCTGATAGACAAGGGGTTAAGGCACCAGCGATCGCTGAGTGGTGGCCCCTGCATTGGGCCACAGATATTGATCAGTCTGCGCGCCCCTTTTCTTGTCCTGCTCTCGCTGCTTTCGACTGGCCAGAAGCACCTGACTCGTACATTTCACTCGACGAAGGTTGGGATGAATGGGAGCGCAGCATGCAGAGGACAGATACTGTTGTGCCGAATCTTCAGACGTTGCGAGACGCAAGGACAGGAGCCGCACCCTGGCTGCCCGCTACGCTGGACACCGGCGCGGACGCCACAGGGCCCAGCCCTCGTGGACGTCCGCCGGTTGCCTGGGCAGATCGGTTTGTTGCACGTCCTGCTCGTGAATCCAAGTCTGTATCCAGGCGCAACAAAATCTGTTCTGATCATCCTCTCAGCGTGGTGAAACCTGTCGCCGGTCAAACCGAGGCGACAGGTAACGAGGGACCCGAACCAATTCCCTTCGATTTCACCGCCGTCTGCCGGTCCCAGACCCAGCAGATGCTTGACGGGAAGATCGATCTCGATCTGCCCGATGGACTGGCGTACCCTCGCCGTGTTGATGGCTCAGTGAGCGTCACGGTGACGAAGAAAGAAGCCATCGATGTGGCTGCGCAATATGTCATGGAGCACACATGCTATAACCCGGACACGAGCGCGACCAATAGGTTGCGCCTAACGGGAGAATTGACACATGTTGTCCCTGACGATGTGCGACAGACCATTGGGTGGAATTGGAAGATTCCCGTTAAAGACCTCGAGTGGGGTCTTCGTATCATGCGCGTGATTGTGATCGTCCGTGAGCTCATACGTTGTTCTATTGCTGAGGGGTATTACATTGCATGTCCCACGCATGGGCTCCTTACCCGCGACACAGCCGCAGGGTATGACAATGATAGGCGTCGCACTGACGCATATGCGCTTGATTGCCGCAGTCGTGCGGCTGTCGAGACAGACGACCTCATTGGGGCGTGGGCCGCGACATGGGCAAACTGCGTCGTGCAGAGATCCGTCGCCAGGGCGTGAAGTTGCAAGATGCTGTCTTCTTTTTATACCCACTCGTGGAATCAACTGAACTCCAAGACCGCGACGAAGGCCCCTTTCGCACTGCCTGTGGCAAATATAGTGCCTATGTCGCAACTGCCGCGAGGGGTGTTGTAAGATGCGCTAAATTGCAGCATGAAGTACGTCTTCGTGAGGAATCAGGCGCCGACGAGCCCTCCGACGGCCCAGCCGGTTCGGAAGGGGCTCCCGTTGCGAAAGCAAGGCCAAGCCGTGCTATTCGCCCAGCTCCGCCTCCTCCGCCTAGAAGGCCCGACGTCCAAGACGATCGGGCCAACGACGACATTACTGAGTCTCCTCACTCCGCCGGCGGTCAAACCGTCACGGCGGGAGAGGAGTTCTCGAGGCGCTCTTCTCACGGGGACACTTGGGATTGGTCAATGTCCGCGCGCGCGCCGGGGCCATGGACGCCGGGCGCGCTGCCGGTGACTGCAACCCCGCGATCCACTACCCGATGTACACGGTGTATGGATTGCAGGGATACTGGGTCCACCGTGACGCCAGGCACTGGATGACCCGCAGAGAGAACGAGAGTCGGGCGTGGCACTTTGTGCTTCCCAACGACTACGAATACTACTTTCAAAGAGAGAAAGGCAAGGGGTACACCAAGAACAAGGACAATAACAAAAACACCAGGTCAGCTCTCGATAACGCGACCGTGACCATAGCCACTGCTCCTTCGTGCTTCCTAGATAAGATGTTTGAAAATATAATTCCGTTTTTATCACGTTGGGATTTGTTAACTTTCATAAATCGGTTTTGCAAGCGATTGCAGACCCACTATGACGCGTGAGCGGGGGGGCAGAAAAAAGGGCATCGGTGTGCATAGTAACGCAATTGGAAGGGTTCGGCGGAAGAGGTAGCGTGCCAGACGTGGTGCGAGCGCACTTAGCTTGCCCCTCACATTCCTTCTCCATCTTCAACCTTTTCCCTCACCCTCCTCCTCCCTGTTCGTCGTCGTCGTTTCGCAGAACCATTTATCAACCCCTTCTCCTTTTATCCCATCCTCTTCCTCCAAAAGCGCCCTATTGACCATCCTACTACTCCTGCTCCTCTTGTTCCATCGCTGGATGATTCTCGTGCCGTGCCGTGCCGTGCCGTCTCGTGATGCGTGCCGTGCCGTGCCGTTTCGTGATGCGTCTCACGGGGTCTCGTGCCGTGCCGTCCCGTGCTGTTCCGTCTCATGCCGTGCCGTGCGACTCCTCTCGGAGTGCCGTGCCGCCTCGCGATGCGTCGTGCCAGGTGGAGATGGTGCTTGCGGCGTGGCCTCCAAAAACTGATCGTGGGTGTGTCGACGGGTGCCGTGCGGTGCGGTTACTTGCCGTATTGTGTCGGGTTTCGCGGTGTTGCGTGATGCCGTGTCAAAGTTGTCGGGGCCCCATTGCCACGTTGTTGTTTGTCAATATCCGTAGCCTGTTTTGGTTCAAAGCTTGTGCGACTTCTGCTTGCCAATTCTTCGGCGCACCGTGCATTCCTCCTAGGTCCTCGATTGCACGGGCCAGGCTCGCCATGACGTCGTCGGGCAGCGGCTTGTCGAGGTCGGACTCCCGCGCGATGTTGGACGTGGCCACGCCGAAGTCCACGGTCAGCAGGGGCTCAGCCGCCTCGTCGAGGAACTTGGTCGACCTCATTCCTCCGCCGAAGGCGGTGGCCAGAAAGAAGGAGCAACAGGAGCTGAACGCGCGCTACCGTGCTTTCCAGTCGTTGGTGAAGCATCTCTTGGATGACGACACCCATGCGCCGTCGTTGCTGATGGGCCTCCAGAGGTACAGGGACGAGGTAGAGGGTGATACGTGCTTGGAGGGCGCTCTCTCCCGCGAGGTCTTCCCCAATGGCCCCCCCCGAGACCATCAGCAGGATTCCAGAGGACTACAAGTTGGACATGATCGTCGAGAAATCCAAGTTGACGGTGGTCCAGCTAGTGACAGCGCAGGGGAAGGACTCCTCGGCCATCTCGGACGCGTTCCACTTCGGCCAGCAGATGATGGAGAACTTGTTCCTCCCACCAGAGCTCGGCGTGATGGAGGTGGCTCGCGGCGTCTTGACGGAGCGCCATACGGATGTCGGTTCGCGCTGGGCGATGATGGACTCGTCTTGGATCGCGCCAGACGGCAATCTTTCCTTCGTAAAGGGGTGCTACCGCTTCTTGCACGACGAGAACGATGACGTTGCCAAGAAGGTTCAGCACGTCAGCGGAGACACCGTGGACCTGCCTGAGGGGGCGCACATCGTCAAGAAGGTCCACGGCATCAGCTGCAACTACAGCGACTGGAAGGCGGCCGTGGTGTGCAAACCCTTCTCGGGCGCCAAGCTTCACAAGTTCGCCCAGGCGACCAAGACGGGGCCGTGCCGCTACACCGTTTTCACCAACAAGGACGACGTGCTCAGCGACAAGGTGAAGAATCGGTGCACCACGTGGGCTAAGGGGCGCGGCTCTTCTGCCTCTGCGTCTTCGGGTCCCACGGAGGCGCAGAAGGAGCTCCAGGAGTCCAAGAAGCGCGCCAAGACGACGGCCATGGAGTCGGCTCGCAAGAAGGCGAAGGACCTCAACGCCTTGAAGAAGGAAGCGAAGGTGTCCTCGGCTTGAGGCTTGACGTCGGTCGTTGTCGTCACTAGTGATATTGAGTTTTGACATGAGGAGTTCGTGCGAGTGGCATGTCAACCACCTTGTATAAATCCGTCGCAGCACTGCTCTCAACCTCTAGTGTAGTGGTCATAGCTTGTCAGCTTTAGTTGACACACGTAGCAGGTGGTGCCGCTAGCAGTTGGTGCCCCTAGCAGGTGAGGCCGCCTGCTGGGTCATAATGCGGGTTATCTGACCGTCGCAGCAGGCGCGGTGCCTCCAGCGCGCGGTGCCCCCAGCACCTTGTGCCCAGACACGTGCGTAGGAGGGTGGTGCCCCTTCGCACCGTTCGAGCTGAAAAAATGAAACGACCCCTGAGGGCCCTCATGGACACACCACCTCATGGGGGCGGGAGGGGCGGATAATGGGGGAAGGGGACTGGGTGAGAGGACGAGGGCATGTGTGGGAGGGCCATAGAAACAGTATGCAGTGAGGAGGGGTAGAATAGGGAGGGGTCTCCACCTCCCCCTCCTCCTCCTCCCCCCCTAACCTCCTGGGCCCCTTTAGGCCGGCAGTGGCCAGGTGGCCAGCAACCGTCAGAATGATTCGGAGAGTGTCCTTTGTACGTCGCAGGTGTGACTCCACCGTTGGCTTGCGTTGTTTGCAATGCAGATTTCATGATTCGGTGTCTGTCGTGCGCAGGCGAGGTCGACGTGTGAGTTCTCAGGTCGCCTGCGGTCGTCCTCCGTGATCCTCCCCACCCTCTCGCCTCTTCCTCTGGCGTAGCCATTTTGGCACTAGTCGATTCTCAGGGTCTCGAGGCGAGTTCTTCATCGGGACCGTGCATGCCGTCTGCGGCGGCCGCGGCGGCCAGCGGTGGCGGCGGGCCCCCAGCCCGCGTGGACGTCGATGACATCGACGTCGACGGGATCAAGAAGGCCCAGGATACCCAGGTGCCCATGGACCTCCTCCCGTGGAGCGACCACGTGCACCTCCGCAAGGTTGGGAATAACAAGTGGATGTTGAGGAGCATCGAGACGTACGAGTTCCACGAGTTCGAGGCGCAGGCCGCGGAGCTTGTCCACTCGGACGACAGAGCGAGCATCGCGGTTGCGAAAGTTGATGGTAGCGCCGATGTGATTGACCTTGACAACCTGTTCAAGTGGAGACTTTACCGTGCGAAGGGTAGCTGGGAATATTTCGCCAAGGCCACTGTCGTATACCCGACCCACACCAAGACGATACAGAAGAGCGTCGACGACATGTTCTCGGATCACAGGAAGGGCAAGGTGAACGTCGCCGTCGGCTCTGGGAACGGGGAGACACAGTTCAAAGTGTTCATCTTCAAGCGTCATCGCCAAGGAGGGCAGCGGATATGGTGGGACCACATGTCATTGCAAAAGTACCTCAAGGTCAAGTCCTACAAGGGCATCCCGTCGAGTTGGTGGGGTAGGGTTGGCCATAAGTGGGACGGCAGCTTCCTGCAGAATTTCGGTTTCGGCTCGATGATATACGGCAAAGTGGTAGCGCCCCATGCGGTCAAGAAAATGATGATTCCGTTTCGCACGAGGTGCCTCGACTCGAGCTCTTTGTCGACGGCTGGACTCGTCTTCGCAGTGGCCAGGTGCGCGTATTTGTCGCCAGAGGCTGGGGGCTTCAAGGAGGAGAGTAGCACGCGCGCTGCGACGGAGTTGATGGACGCCCTCGTCGGTACCTTCCTGCGCAACTGCCAGGTCGAGGGTAAGGCCCCCGCCATCACTTTGTGCCTCGTTGCCGATTGGGCGCCACCGTGGCCGTTCCCCACAGAGACGGGCACTCCCCAGGTCAACCTGAGAGTGCATCGCGATGGTATCGACGTGAAGCCGCTGCACAGCTTGGCCATTGTATCTGGGAGGATTTCAGTTGTGACCAAGAATTTCAGGATGGTGGAGAGTGTCGTCGGCTCGTCCGACCAGGACGTCATGCTCGTATCATGGGAGAACTTGTTCTCGAACACGGTGTCCAAGACATCAAGCAAGTTCTTCTCGCAGATCGTCTACGGCCTCGCCGTGGCCGCAGAGGCCATCGTGCTCCGCGGGGTCACGAATCAGGACGTCGTGGACACGCTCAGCCCGATCAACGTCTGCACGTCCACGATGCAGGACATGGGCAGGCACGAGGTGGACTACTTTCTCGCGAAGTACGTCGCCTGCGCGAAGGACACGTTCAAGTCGCCTTTGTTCCTCAACGTCGCCATCGACAAGGACAGGGGGTGACCAGCAGCAGTTGCCGATCTTGGCCACCCCTGAGACGCCTCCCCCCGCCCCCCCCCTCCGCGCCCGCCCGCCAGCCCCGCCGGCCTCGGCGGGGGGAATGGGGGGAGGGGGCAGGCGGCGGTGGCTAATATCGCCATTGGCAGCTAGGCGCCCCCCAAAGGGCAACCCTGGCAACCTCCCCCTCTGCGGCCCCGTGTTCACGCTCCCCAGTGAGTGGCGGTCGTCGGGCCGCCGCAGGTAGGCCAGGTAGACGCGCGCGCCCGCCCCCCCCCCCTCCCCCCATGCACAGGCGCACCCCCCTGTCGGGCGAACGGCCTCGGCTGTGGCTATGGTCACTTTTCGGGGCTCCCGCCTGAGTTTTGGGCCCAAAAAGTGACCGCAGCCACAGCTGGGGCACTGGGCGCTGGGCCTGGGGGCGCCAAGGGGGGGCGGGGCCTCGGGCGTTTGCGCCGTCGCAGGTGGCGAGCGGCGCTGGGGCGCTGGAGTGGGCGTCAGGCAAGGATATCAGATCGGTGCGGCCTGGGGGGAAGAAGAGCGAGACTACCGACGGGGATGCTGTGACGATGAGGGCAAATCGCCACCGCGCGTGGCTCCAGAGAGGTAGGCGCCAGAAGGGCCAGAGTTGGAGGCCAGTCGTGCTACACCGAGCTGCCGCAGCATCGTGGTGCACTGCCCTCGACAACGCCATGAAGCGGGTGACCGAGACCGATGGCCTTTCGTATCTTCGGCCCGACGCCTCCGACAAATGGCACGACGCAAATTGGCGGAACTGGCCTCACATGTCGTTGCCGATGGACCTTGGGCCTGACGGGATGGCAGGTTGCAACGCTTTGCTTTACAAGTGGAAGTTGAATCTGACAAGGGTCGATGAGTTCAGCCACGGGTCGAACGACGACCTCGAGGTCTACCTGAAGGAAATCGGCATGTGGGACCTCGCGATCCTCCTCTTCATCCGCTTCAACGTGCCGTTCGGGCCTGACAAGGACCCCCCCCCCTCCCCCTCCTCTCCTCCTCCTCCAGAGTGGGGGGAGGCTGGCAGGAGGGCGACCGATGCAGGCACCTGACCTTCCCTCTCCCTCTGTCCTCCTCTCCTCCTCTCCTCCTCTCCTCTCCTCCTCTCCTCCTCCCCTCCTCCCCTCCTCCCCCCCATCCGAGTGGGGAGAGGGCCTTCCCTCTCCTCCTCTCCTCCTCTCCTCCTCCCCTCAGGAGGACGACCGATGCAGGCGCCTCGAGCGCGTGGACACCATGAGGAAGATCTACGACGAGGAGACCTACAGGTCGGTGCCGTGCTTCCAGCACTACTGCAATAACATAGTCCAGGAGATGAAGAGGGACGGCTACGAGTTCACAGGGGACGAGCCAGATGCAGCTGTGGCTTGGAACTTCATGAAAGAGGAGAACGGCTTCATCCCATTGGGGATGCGCTTGAACTTCTGTCGGTTTTGTGATGCTGCTGATGGCTTCGGCAGGAACTACGCGTACTGGTGGGGGCGCGCGTGCGAGCGCGCGTGCGTCGCCTTGGAGCACGACATGCTTGCGAATGCGAAGCTCCAGAAGGTAGCGGTCAAGCAGGCGGAATTGGATGGGGCGATCGTGGAGGGGGGCGGCGCTACGAGCAGCGCCAAAGTGACGATCGACGCGAAGGTGTTGAGGTCCGCTAACGCAAACGCCTTGGCGATATCAGTGCTGCTGGCATCATGCCGTCGGAACCGCCGCGCAGTAGCCTGCTCGTTCGCCCCGATGTGGCTTGTGAAGAAGTGGCAAGGGAAGAGCGTGAAGGAGATGAAGACCGCGGAGGCGACGCAGGTGTGGATGACCAATCAGATCAGAGGGGACTTCATGGACCATGTTATTTCGATTGTAAACGGCTTGTTGGACGTGCACAGCATGGAGGGCTGCGCGCGATCAAGGACGCGCGATCAAGGACGCCGATCCTGGACGCGCGATCAAGGACGCCGATCTTGGTGAGGTCGGTGTCGAGGGCGACTTTGCCGAGCTGTGCGGCATGGCGCATCTTTCACTTGCCACTGCCAGGATGCGAAGGTGTTTGCTTTTGTTCGGGTGGCCCTTGAAGATGCAGCGCGTCCTGGCCGACCCAGAGACAGGGGTGAACACGGCGCGGGAATTCAGGGGTGAACGCGGCGCGGGAGTTCAAGCGAGACCTCGATGTCTTCAACGAGTACTGCGCGTACAAGGGCGATCAGAGTGCACGGTGCGTGGTCGTGAAGCGCAGCGTCTTCGGCCTGACAGCGACCAAGCAGATCACCTTGGCGTTCCGCGAGCTCGGGTTCAATGCTCCGCGCCAGGCGATCAAGGACATCATGAAAGGTCGGAGCACTGGCATCATGAATACGATTCCTGTCGAGAAGATCATTGGCGCCCAGACGAAGTGCTCGCGCTTCAAGGCTTGCAAGAAGTTTCGTAGGCCAGCGACCGCCATGCATGCGGCCATCTGTTGCGGCGTGATCGACAAGCAGTTGAAGTTCACGGCCCTCGAGGCCGATGCCCCCCCTTCAGGAAAAAGACAGCGTCTCTGCCACTAGAAGCCTTCAAGCCAGTGAAGAGATCTGCTTCGATAGCTTTCGGGGATATCGTGAGTACCACCCAGAAGACCGACTACTACAGCCCAGGCCCCACCTTGGCGAACACACCGGTTGTCGACCTCAATATGGTTTACGACGCGAAGGCTAAAGGAGGGTTTGGCCATGTCACAGACGCGTGGCTGGGCGGCATATTCAAGCTGAAGCACAAGTTCGTCTTCTCGAGCCCACATCATGGTGGCGATGCGTGGTGGCACCTTGCGCTGTGTCACTGGCCGACGAGCGGCGTGTTGTGTTGGCCTGGCAAGCTGGTCAAGGTAGAGGGGTCACCCAACTTGTACTTCGAGTTCGCCCTCGACTTGCAGGAGCCCGTGCACGTCGGCGTGTTCGACTGGGCGGACTTCAAGGTCAGGGAGATTTGTTTCAAGTCATGGGCCTGGCAGGGCCGCAACATGCCGCAGGGTTGGGTTGATGCGAACAAGCCTGGCGCGCGCATCTTCGCCACGGGTTCGGTCGCCAACATCCAGAAGCTGGCCGCGACGAATTGTTTCTGGAACATCAGCTCCACGGACTTGGGCAGTATTGCCAGCTACCTGAAGATCCCCATTGCTGAGGGTGCGTCTTTGTTCTCCAAGCTGCACGCGATGATCTGTTCGCTCTTGGGCATCACAAGTGAGGCTGCCATGAAGTTCTTGTGCGCGCGCTGGTCGTGCGATGAGAACGACTTGGAGTTCGCCCAAGAGTCGATGGAGGTCGAGGCGGCCATCGAAGTCTTGGACCAGCACGACCATGACACAGTGGAGCAGCAGATGCACGCGGCGGAGACCAGCGTCAAGGCCCACGCAGAGTTCACGGAGGAGTTCGAGGCGAAGCTGCTCGAGCTCGCACGCGCCAAGGCTGGCGGCGAGAAGCCCGAGGTAGGCGCGGGGAAGGCGGAGAAGATCCCCACTACGCTGACGCAGAAAGAGGCCAATCAGTACCTGCCGCCAGGTGCCTCCATCTGGCGCGGCTTCTCTCGCGGTGAGTGGATGGGGCACATGCCCCCGTGCAGGCGCGCGAGCGCACCGTGGTCAAAGCACGCTGAGGCTGGTGCCATGCGAGTTGTCTTGAAGAAGGTGTGGATCCAATATTTGGCGAAGGAGTTCAAGGGCCGCTCTCACTGCCCCTGGCCCGAGCCGTTCGAATGAATTCCGCGTCGTTTGGACGTTCGCGTCCTCGTATTTTTTGATGAGGGGATTGGGGGCATAACCAGGGCGAGGATGGGGAGGAAACGTCGAGGATTGCTTGTGCGCTAGTGTTGTGCTTGGGGAAAAGCAATGATTTTAAGTAGTTGTACGATTTTAGGTTTAAGATTGTTGCGCCTGCTTGAGCCTCGTGGAGATACGAATGGCAGCTGTTCGATGTGTGCGTGCGCTTTTCGGGGCTAAACGTGGTCCGATTCCTTTGCGCTCTCAGAGGGGAAGAAAGGTAGGATGAGGAGGAGTAGGAGGAGGAGGAGGAGGAGGAGGAGGAGGAGGATGAGGGGGCGGAGGAGGAGGAGGGGGGAGGAGGGAGGAGGAGGGAGGACCCCAAGAGGAGGAGGAGGAGGAGGGAGGACCCCAAGGACGCACACGATGGACACGCGAGCTGCCTGGGCTACGACGGCCCCTGGTGCACTATGTAGTTTAGGCGCCCTTGTGGGCGGGGGCGCCTCGATGCAGCTTCGCATCGCCTCCGAAGGATCGCCGCCGCCGAGCGGCCTGGAACGTCATGCGGTAGAGAAAAACGGGTCGTGGACACTCCGAGAGAGAACGGGCTATAGTGAGTGAGGAGTGTCAGGGAGAGAGAGAGAGAGAGAGAGAGAGAGAGAGAGAGAGAGAGAGAGAGAGAGAGAGAGAGAGAGAGAGAGAGAGAGAGAGAGAGAGAGAGAGAGAGAGAGAGAGAGAGAGAGAGAGAGAGAGAGAGAGAGAGAGAGAGAGAGAGAGAGAGAGAGAGAGAAAGAAAAAGGAGAGGGAGAGAGAGAGAGAGAGAGATAATAGGCACCTTTGATGTCATCCCCACGGGGTTGGTCGCTGAGGCCAGGGGGCTTCTCCAGGGGCATAGGACTTGATTTGTCTTGCAAGGAGTTTCGCTTTCTGGCGCTCGTTGTTTGCTGGATTCGGTTCGTGCGCAGGAGGGCGTAATCGAGATCAGGTTGGGCATGGCCCCCTGGCCCCTCACGCGCCTTGTCTCCCGCGGGGAGTGCGGGCTCCGTGTGCGCGTTGCCCCCCGCCATTGGTCCTTGTTGTTGCTATTTATGCTTCATCTACTGTCATGAATTTATCCTACGCTGGCTGCTCTGACTAGTATTGTTCTGGCTATATGCCGTTCCACTTTCCTATCCTGCCCCCCCCCATCCCGCCTCTTACTCTTATTCGTATTCGAAAGGTTCGGCTCAAGGTACGCTGCGTCGGCCAAAACGGGGCCTCGGCGAATTGCCCGAGCGGCGATTCATAGGGAGCTGTGCCCCCCACGCCGACTTCCCAAATTCCAGGGGGGGCGCCCAGCGGTGGCTATGGTCACGTTCGCGGCCTCTAAGCCCCCTATGCTGGCCGTGGCAAGGGAGGCAAGCCAGCTCCGCATCATTGGACAGCTGGACAAGCGGGAGGCTCGTCGTCTTCGACTCCGAGACCTCCATCTCCGCCTCCGCAGGCGCGGTTCCTCTAGTACAAAAAGTGAGGGCATGCATAAGCCGTGCGACCAAGTCGCTACGGCACCGACCGAACGACCCAGTCGTATCGGCGGAGAGGCCTTATTTAACCATTGGTGGGATTCGTCTGGTTTTCTCCGGCCCTCAGCCCCCTGGCAACCACCGTTGAGCGGTAAAATGCTTTTGGGGTTCGCTCCGGTGGCTGTAAATATGTGCAGGCCAGGCAGGCTGTGGCTGGTTGGACCCTGCGAAACCCGCCGCGGGGGGAGTAAATATGCTCCTCCCCGCCTCATTATGCATTTGCCTCTCCTGCTGCCTGCCTTGCCATACCTTGACATTGGTATCGCTGTATACCGAAGCTGTACCTGCTGCTCGAGTGAGAAAAGGAGCGCGCCGGGGCGCGCGTGGGCGGCCCGTGTCGTCGCCCGTCCCTGGCCGGACTCCTTACTTCCTATGCTTGAGTGTGGCTGCGTAACGGATAACCTACGGTTTCATCGATGTCTCATCCCGTATCCTCTACCACTGAGCATAGTCAACATGAGACCTTAATTCCTTTGGCATCTTACCCCGATTCTCAGAGGAAAGACTGATGGGGAATGTTTGGGAATATTTGGAGAGCAAAGGGTGCAAATTCAACTTTGCGCATCCGTTCCTGGATTGGGCGGAGGAGAGAAATAATCAGTAGCTCAGAGACAAAGGGAGGCTAATGCCAAGCCGCCGGCACAGCTGGCGGGCGGGTCTGTTCCTCGGGTGCCTAGGCAGCCCCCGCGTTTTGAGGGGCCTCAGGAACCTGGACCTCCGCCCCCTAACCTTGCCAGACCCCCTGCACCTCCGATTCCTAAGGGCCAGGGGGATATGACGGCTGGCGGGTCGAATGACGACCCACAGGAAGGGGATTTGCCCCCTGCGGCACCGCCGCCAGGGGGCAACAAATCGCTGGGAACCGTTGTCGGGTAATGTGGCGAAGCCGCCTCCGCCTCCTCCCGCGCCTGCCCCAAAAGCAGTTGCTGAGCTGCGGGGGGCTAGTTGGGATCCAACGAGGAACCTTATGGCGCCGCCACCAAGTATACGAGATACTCCTCCTCCTAGATGGACTCCCAATTTGAGGGAAAGCCTTTTCCTGCGAAAGCAGACGCACCGGCCGTTCAGAGCCCAAAGGATCTGCCTATGCCCCCCCCAGCTGCTGAGCCGAGAACCGAGCGCGTCCTCGCGCAGACCGCTTGTTTTCCAACTTGTTTCTGCCAGTTTCATGATGCGCTCTACGTTTTGTGCTTCGCAGTCGCGATGCGTTTCTTGTTGCGCGGCTTCTGCCTGCTATTTGCCAGGTGGGGGGCCTTCCCGCTGCGCTGTGACCGCCCGCCTTTTTCCACCCCATTGGCATTGGGGCCGGGGTGTGACCTCGCGCGCGCTGCTTGGCCAGCGCAGAAATAATTTGCAGGAGGAGGACCTAGGAGCAGAAGCTAACGCGGATTCACATTGTGAAGCGTAGTTTGTCTCCTTGCCCCCCCCCATCGCTCCGCAGTTGATTGCTTCGCCTTGCGCTGCGCCCGCTGCCCCCTTGCTTCCTCCGCAGCCGTCCAGGTCGCAGGGTGGGCCGCTTGTCCCCCCCCCCCCCCCCCCGCTTTCCCCCCCCCCCCCCCCAGGGGCCGGGGTGCGACCTCGCGCGCCCTGCTTGGCCAATGCAGAAATAATTTGCAGGGGGGGATCTAGGCGCAGGAGCTAACCTCGACGCCAGGAGACGAGCGTTTCGAAGCGGATGCAGACCCCTGCCGCGCAGAGATGACCGCGGCAGAGAAGGGATGGGATTAGCAGGAGAGAAGACGAAAGCTCTGGACGCGCCTGGGCTGAAGAAAGAAGATGCATAATGAGGGCAGCGAGAGGCGTCGCCGCTACTCGCGGGAGAAGCTGTCATGCAATATTGGAGCGTGTCACGACGCGAGCATCGCATCTTTCTCTTGGTCGCGCAGACATGGGGGGCGCAGTAACTAACCTTGCAAACTATATGCAGGCGCCGAGGCAAGTAGACGCTGCGCGCTTGAAGAAGTCACAGGGCGATCCCGTGTTGCGCAGGAGTTCGCCGGGGACAAGAACGCTGCCAACGAGGGCGTCGCCAAGGTGGTCATCAGTGTGGACATCGACAACGCTGGAGACAATGTGTCTCGGAGGTCAACAGTTGGCCAATTTGCCTGCGCCGGCAAGCGCGTTGTCGAGCGCGTGTGCAACATCCTGCAGGCGATCGGCCCCTCGTCTGGCGAGAACGACTTCTACGCCAGAAGCGCTGGTGCTTGTGCAGGACTTGGTATCGAGGGTATATAGGAAGACTGGAATGGGGCGCGAGGTGAGAGTCGTCTCTGACTCATCAGCCGCACGAGGCTTTGCTTCCAGGAGAGGGGTCGGGAAGCAGAAACATCCAGACGCGATGCCTCTGGGCGCGGGAGAGGCTCGCTATGGGGCGCCCTCGATTTGGGCAAGATTGGCGCGCGAGAGAACGGGGCCGACTCGCCCGCCAGGCCACTTGCCAGGAAGGAGATGGATGAGCACATGGAAAGGGATCCGTCGGGGGTTTCGGGACGGGCGGGCGCAGTCTGGCCCGCGCCTGCTCTGACAGGGCCGCAGAGGAGCCAGGTGGCAAAGCGCCCGGCACCGAGCCTGGAAGCGGGGGGCTCCGCGCCGGGCGAGAGCCCAGCACGGCGCCTTGCTGGGGCGGCCCCGCGCCGGGTGCGCGACCGAGCCCGGGGGGCGAGGGGCCCCGCGCCGGGCCAGAGCCCGACGCGGCGCCTAGCTACTGGTAGCCCCGCGCTCGGCGCAAAGCTACTGAGCGCTGAACGCCTTGCCACTGCGTGGTTGTGGATCGTCACAGCTCCGCTACCTTTCTTCCAGACGGCGGGGGCCGTCCTCCAAGCGACGCGCTGCGAGGCGGGGAATGGCCCGAATCGCAGCGAGGAGGGGTGGCGAAATTCATCCCCAGCAGTTCGTAGTCTAAGGAATGGGATGGGGGCGGCAATGGAAGCAGCGCAGAGCATCATGTAGTGTAGCATTGTTGCATTGTTGTCACTCCTCATTCCACAGCTCCTTTCGGCAAGAGACTTTTCCACAGCGGCGCAAGAAACGGCCGCCAGCACTGACCGCCGACGGGCGGCGCCGACCACAAGCACAATCCTGAGCCCCATCTTCCTTGTCGTCTACTTGCGGTGGCCTTTGCACGATTTTACCCACATGTTCTACTTGCACCGCATGGCGTCCCAGTTCCAGCAGCGCCATCATGACTTCTAAGGCTACGGCTTCCTGTGCAGGGCGATAATTAACGGCCCGGCCCGCTTTGGCGGGACGTCTCCGCGCGTTGTTCGTTCGTTCGTTCGTTCCTCCTCTTCCTCCTCCTCGTTCTCTTCTCTTCCTCCTCTTCGTCCTCAGCAGCGGGCCGCGCGTCTGGCCGGCCTTCGAAAACCAGGGGGGGACACTGCCGGTTCGAACCCCTCCCCCCCCCCAGTCCATCATGGAAGGGGGGGGGGTCACTACTGG